GGAAGGGCCCTGGAGGAGCGGCTCACCAGTCACCCCAGGGCGGCTCGGGATGACTCCCTGCTTGCTCCCACCCCCACGGAATGGGGACTGCGAGTGTAGTGGATGGGGCGCTGCTGCCCCTGAGCGATCAGCCCGTTCTGGGAGAGATGAGATCTGGGATCCTGGGGCTTCTGAAGAGGAAACCGGCGCTGGACACCTGAGTGAGCTTCATGAACATAGGGAACCCGGAGCCTCGTGCCCTCGTGCCTGGATCAGGTTCAGCTTTCTAACCCTGTAGACTGGGTCCCCCACCCGACATCCCGCCCGTGCTAGGAAGCAGACCCAGGGTCTAGCACCAGCTAGGGAGGCACTGTACCCGGGAGCTACCTCTCCAGCCCGAGGGGTTTGAGTGGGTGAAGGGGGCATGACTTGAAAGGAGGTAGAAAAAAGAGTAAGTACAAAGGAGACAAGGAAACCGAGATTTTAAAATCATACTTTTAAGAAAAACTTCTGCTAAAGGACCGTAGTCTATATCCTCAATACCTTTTAAATATCTGCAATACTCACAATACCTGTAATACCTGAAAAGAGTCCGTCAGTCTCCCGGGTGACAGCTGTCCATCCGGCCGCCCCCTAAACTCCGAGGTCGGCAGCATCCAACTGGCCTGGGCCGGAAGGCGTCACACTCCTCCACAGTTGGTGCCAAGGATGACATGATGGGACATTCGCTGAGCACCGACTGTATTCCAGGCTCTGGTGCACAGAATCCATGTAATTACACTTAGGTTAGGTAGTAATAGTGCCTAATCACTTTCCTCGTTGCCGGACAAAATACCCGGCACCTTCAACTAAAGGAGGAGAGGTTTATTTTGGGTCACGTTTTAGTCTATGCTCAGCTGGCTCCAAGGCGGGACAGCATGGGGCAGGGGCCTGGCGGAGGGGAGACCTCACTGCATGGCAGGGAGGAAGCGGAGAGTGAAGGGTGGAGCAGAAGGGAGATGGACCCTTCCAGGCAGGTCCCCACCAACCCGCCCCTTCCCACCAGAAGCCACCTCCTACCAGCAGTCAGCTACGAGCCCCATAACCCAAGCACCTTCTGAAACCCCAGCTGTGAGCGCATAAGGCTCTAGAATAAACCATAGTAGACACCATGATTATGACACATGTATCGTTACTAGACAGAGGCAGGCTCCAACTCAGGCCTGGCAGGTCCCTACGACTCTGCATGGCATCGTACATTCGTGTGCAGAGGGATGTGTGGCGTAAATGTGGAGCAAACCCAAACCCTTGCGAGCCTCAGGCCCTGCTCTGAGGCCTACGTGCAGCCCTGTCTGTTGCACCAACTGCTTAGGCACGTAAAAGCACAGTCGCCCATGTGGAGTCGCCAGGAGAAGGTTGGGTGTTAGCAGTGAGTGACCCAGGATCGGACTCGGACTCATACTAGATGGGACTTGGGCAAGCCACTGCTCGGTGCCTCAGTGTCCCTGGGCATCCTGTGGGATAAGGATACAGCACTACCATCCTGGGAGCCCAGTGAGAACCAGCAGGCCCTGGTCTGCTCCCTCCCAGCTGCAGGAGTAGCAGCACCCCATTAGTGGGTGATTTAATGCTCTGGGCTTTGAGGTCCTGCCTGGGTGACCTCCTCCTTGGCCTGGCCCCCTGTGCTCTAATCTGCCAGAAATTTGTTTTCGGTCTGAAAGAAGAAAAACAAGATTCCCACCACAGGACTTGTAGCAAGCTTGTAATTTATCTGAAGTCCATCCAGGGGCTCAGCGGACGGAAGATGAGGGCAGCTCAGAGCCACGCATGTTTCACATATTTCCGTCTCTGCTCTGGTTTGGAAAGCTGAGATTTTCAAGAGCTGTCTCCTTCTGTCCTCAGCCCTGAGTCACTGTGCCCTGCCGGCCCCTTGCCCTTTGGGGACGCACAAATGCTGTTTATCAGCTCAATCTGAGACCCGCGAGGACTTGGCCTTTAAACCTATGTAGATGTTTCTCAGCAGCCAGGACTGTTCATCCTCCCATTCCTGGGCCTCCAGGTACAGCTGCCCACTGTCCCGGGCCACCTCTCCGTTGCAACCCTCAGGCCACTGCCTCCTCATGCCGCAGGGCAGGATGCTCAGAGGAGGGCTGTGCCCTGTCGTACCCTTGACCCCTCAATAAGCCTCCAGAGATGTTCAGCCAAAACTTGTTGACCATGAGCTGGGTGTGGTGGTGCACGCCTGTAATCCCAGCACTCATGAGGCTGAAGCAGGAGGATTTCTGTGAGTTTGAGGTCAGCCTAGGCTACACAGTGGGTCCAAGGCCAACCTGAACTACATAGGGAGGCTCCTGTCTCAAACAAAACAAAACAGTTTGTTGAATGACAGGTTTTTTTTTTTATTATTATTATTGTTGTTGTTATTTGGGGTTTTTTGAGAAGGGGTCACAATATGTAGTTCAGGCTGGCCTTGAACTCACACTGATCCTCCTGCCTCAGCCTCCCAAAGGCAGGCATTATAGGCACATGGCACCACACCCAGCTGAATTTGAGTTTTTAAAATCATGTGTAGCTCAGAGGTAGAGTGCTTGCCTAGCATGTGCAAGGCCCTGGGTTCCCTGCCTAGCACTGCAAAGAAATAAATGAATAATAAACTCTAGAGTTTTAGTTGGGGAAGATCAAATTCTGGATTTGGGTGGTGGTGACGACCACACAGCTGTGTGAATGTCCCTGGTACCACCGCATGGTGCCTGACGAAGACAGTGAATTTACTGTTATGTGCATTTTGCTGAATACAGATTTTATTTTTAATTTAATTTATTTTGGTGTGTGACAAGGTCTCACTACGTAGTTCAGGCTGGCCTTGAACTTGCAACAGTCCTCTTGCTTCAGCTCTTGCATTGGGATCACAGGCATGGACCACAACAACCTACTATTGGATACAAAAAACTGAGCTCCCTGTGGAGATGCTCAGGAGTGTTAGCAGGTGATCCGGATATGGAAGACCCTCCCTGGATTTTCCAAGGGAAACCTGTGGCTATTACCTGCCCAACACATGCCCCACGCCTCTCTTTCCTTGTCCTTTGTCACCTTCTTATTGATCTTGGTGGCCCCCACCAAGTCCCTTGCAGAGCTGAAATCATAAGAAGAGCAAGCAAGGCCACTGGCAGAGGCCAGAGCCTGAGCAGGTTGTGGGGTGTGCGTGCGGCAGTCTGCGCAGTACTGATAGGGACTTCCTGTGGTCCCTGCTTCAGATTCAAGCTGCCTGGGGACCTGGGACTGTACCTTCTGGAGGGGACCTGGCTAATAGGCCTGGAAGACCCACTGTCCGCTTCAATAAGGTTTAGGTTGAGGAAGGGTGAAGGACCCGCCCCCAATCTGAGCCCACCAATCAGAAAAGGCGGCTGTTTTCAAGCCTTCATTTGAATCTGGTACCTTTCACAGAACCAATCAGAGGATGCTCTTTTCAATCCTTATTTGCATGTGGCCAAAACCAATCAAAAGACGCTGTTCCTGGTCCTTCATTTACATATGGCAGGAAACCAAGGGAGTCTTTCCACAGGGGCTTTACCTGCATCTGCGCCAGGCCAAGTGAGTTTCTGGCAGGAGAATTGTCCCGGTGCTTCAGCTGCACGGGAGGAAAGCCAACGCAGGGATTCTGGATAGAAAAGCCCCCTTTCCCTATCCTCCAGCCACTGTGTGCCTTTTCACCACCCACTCTCACTCTACAGAGCTTATCTCTTTTCCACCTTCAATAAAAGATTTTCCACTGGTACTGGTCTCTTGGTCCTTCTTTTCAGCCCTGGCCTTCCTTCCAGCCGTCACACCTCAGTGAGGGGAGTCTATAAAGGGAAACTACAAAGAAGCCTGAGCGTCCCTCTGTCCAGTAACAGGTTGTGTAGGACTATCAGGGCAGGTTTTGAAGCATGTAAGGACAGCTTCCTCTGTCTTCCTGTCTTGAATAAAGATGTGATGCCAGGAGTTGAAGCAGCTTTCTTGTAGTCATGAGGTTAAAGCCAAGCAAGCAGGGAGATGCAAGCTCCACTCTCCTAGAGCTGCTAGAATAACATCAGTATCTTGTTATGGTAGAGAAATGAGCCCATGTTTATTTTGCCTCTCTTGGTCAGGTTTTCTGTTACTTGCAGCTGAGCAAAACAATTACCAAAACCCAGTACAAAACCATGACTTCAGTTGGTTCCTGCTGTGCCTCTGGCCCCTCCTGTGCTCTCCAAGCCCATAACCATTGGTGCTGGGACCCCAGCCCAGCAGCCGGGGCTTGTCTGTGACCGTGATGAGCTGGCCACATGCCATAGGTGACAGTGCCTCTGTGTGCTCCCAGCCTGGCCTTTGTGCTCCCAGCAACCTAATTTGCTTCCAAGGAAAGCACCACCATTCGTTCTTCTAGGAGTGAATCCACATCCTTAAAAGCCAAGTCTAGGGGGCACGGATGCCACATTGGGTGTGGGGTCTCCTGGAAAGAATGTGAGATGTTTGCCAAAGGGAAGAC